TCCCTCTTCAGTTCCTTGCATATTTGACATCCACAAATCTTCTCTTTGCTTTGATTGAAAAAATCTTCAGGTTTGGGAAAGTGGAAGCCCTGCTCATGGGGGGGGGAGGAAGAGATGGAGGGTATATCATTGTCCCAGTAAAAAGAAAAAAGAGGAAGAGCTATTACATAGAGAAACGATCTAATTACTTGAGCTGTATCTCTGAAGATAGCAATGTGAGTGCATTAGTATGTCAAAACTGGCTTGCAGCCTCCCAGCTTCAAAAAGCCCATTTTGTCAGCTGTGCAAGAAGTAATAGGCTCATACAGACAAGTGTACTATTAAACATTCAAGTATTCAATGAATAAATTAGAACAGTACTCATTACTTTATAATGACTGAAATGAAATAGATAGGAATATTCATGTCAACTAGTGCACTCTGTTCCTCATACCTCATACAGCAACCAATATGGAAAGTTAGTAAGATAAATGGTCAAAGGTCTGGCTCCATTGCCTGGTGGTTAAGGCAGCCAGACTGCCTCATAGCCAACTACACAATTTGAATCCTAGACACAGCAGCTTGGAAAACATGTATGTGTGCATGCATGCATGGCCAAAATCCAAAAAAGAGAAGTGTGCAGTGTGATCATTCTCCATGGGGGAAACACTTTCTCCTCTCTCTCTGGTGGGTGCATGTACCCCTCAGGACATATACATAATAAAGGACAATAACACTCACATGGGAAAATGGCTTCATACTAAGGTATATCATTGTCCCAGTAAAAAGAAAAAAGAGGAAGAGCTATTACATAGAGAAACGATCTAATTACTTGAGCTGTATCTCTGAAGATAGCAATGTGAGTGCATTAGTATGTCAAAACTGGCTTGCAGCCTCCCAGCTTCAAAAAGCCCATTTTGTCAGCTGTGCAAGAAGTAATAGGCTCATACAGACAAGTGTACTATTAAACATTCAAGTATTCAATGAATAAATTAGAACAGTACTCATTACTTTATAATGACTGAAATGAAATAGATAGGAATATTCATGTCAACTAGTGCACTCTGTTCCTCATACCTCATACAGCAACCAATATGGAAAGTTAGTAAGATAAATGGTCAAAGGTCTGGCTCCATTGCCTGGTGGTTAAGGCAGCCAGACTGCCTCATAGCCAACTACACAATTTGAATCCTAGACACAGCAGCTTGGAAAACATGTATGTGTGCATGCATGCATGGCCAAAATCCAAAAAAGAGAAGTGTGCAGTGTGATCATTCTCCATGGGGGAAACACTTTCTCCTCTCTCTCTGGTGGGTGCATGTACCCCTCAGGACATATACATAATAAAGGACAATAACACTCACATGGGAAAATGGCTTCATACTAAACCTAATGCAATAAATCTGATTCACTTACTTTTATGTTGACATGCCTGGACAGTGGTCAGGAAACTCCATTTGACGCAAAATAAAGAACACCATCTTTTTATCCACACATCATCCTGCAGTGGTCTGGATGCTCTGCTCTGCAAAGGTTCACATGCTGGAAAGTCCGTGTTGAGTAGTGGTGGGACCTAGAAAGTGGTGCTTGAAACGCACATACATCAATGATGTCTCAAAGTGGGCTGTTATAAAATACAGCTGCCTGCAGGTCTCTCTCTCTGCCTGTACCTTTCCTTCCTGCCTCTGTTGGCCATTCTGTTTTGTCAAACCACAGGCTATCCAGAGGCTAGCCCCATTTCCTGATCTTTCCAGCCACCAGAAATGTAGGTCAAATAAGTCTCTATTCTGTATAAATCACCCAGTCTCAGGTGTTTTTGTTTAGCAGCACAGTAATACCAGTATAACAATTTTTATTCTATACTCTTACAACTTACTGTAAGAGTATAGAAAATAGTTTAAAAAAATTTTGTCAAATTATTTTTTACTACAAAAAATTGTACAAAAATAGAGTGTATCTCTATACCCTGCTGTTTGAAATTAAGAAAATCACCACTGTTCACCCAAAACATCTCTCTGAAGTTAAGATGCAGCATCATTATCAAAGAAAAAAAGTGGATGGAGAGAGGCTTTTATCAGAGTCAGGGTACAAAAGGCATGAAAGGACAGAAGATGTCCTCTAAAGCGTAGAACAAGGTGAGTCCTGTGGGGTTCTCACCGAAGTCTGTGCCTCTGCACTGCGTTTGAAGGTCTGAGAAGATTCAACCTGCATTTTCTTGCTCCTCATTCACAGGAGGGGCTTAATGAGACCTGTCAGTTACCACACATTCCCTATAAGGTGTTTTTTATGTGGGGAGGGGGTGCTGTAAAATTAAGAGAGTAAACATAAAATAAACACACAGAGACCTACAAGTATAGAAAAGCAGGAATCGGGTGGTCTTGACTTCTCTGAACTGGTCCCAGGTTTATTCTTTTAAAGGGCAGAAAATAGAGGAAAACAAAGTCAAATGCAAAGCCAGTTTTCAGATGTTAATTGGTTGAAGATGCAAGTACATCTGGCACCATGTAGTTCTATGTAAGTTTTTTCCTTTTTGGGCAAATTCTGACTGAACATATGACTTCCTTTAGACCGATACTGTTCTGTAGTTTTGGTAAAAAACAGGCAGCTAGTGTATTCACATATAGATGGCATTAACTGCCCTGCAAATGACTGCTAATGGAACCAAGTTTCTGCATGTGTCTAAAGGTCACCATGTTTGCTCAGACTGGCCACTCTCCAGAGATTCATGCAGCAGAATGAGACTGTGCATCAGAGTCAGAAAAAATGAGGCCAGACAATGCCCCACCTGCCTGAAGCTTACTAAGCTATTAAGACAATGATCTCAACTAGGGGAGTTACAAAATGGAAGTGCTATGGGATTCAGAGCAAAAGAGAACTCATCTAGGGACCAGCAGATGTCATAATGGGTTACGTCACTGGATTCCCACAGGGCCAACCACGGTTTGAGCCTCAGACCTCGTGCCTTGAAACTTACACTGGACACATGTGCATGCATGCCCAAGATCCTGGGAGGTGAGGGGGTGTGTTGTGGCCATCCTCCCCAGGGGGTGATTTCTCACTTCCTGTTTGTCTCTCTGGTGAGTGCACATTCCCTATAGTAAAAATGTCTCAAATAAACAAATAAATAAAAAGAAGAGACCTTGGCTAGTCTGGGAAATCAAGCCTCTGTGAAGAGATAAACAGGAACCAGACAGGTGGACAGGGAAAAGAATACACCATGCAAAAAAAGCAGACGGCACACAAGTAAACAAGATCAGTACTTTAGAAGCATGAAGGCAATCAGTGCAGCACCAGAAATAAGAAAGGAAGGCAGAGGCAAGCAAAGGCCAGATCAAATAGGACCCTGCAAACCATCTGAAGGACTTTACCCTAAAGAGAACAGAAAGCCATGAAAGAGATTTGAAAGGGTTGATTGTGAGGAGGGGGAAGGCACACACAATTAGATCTGCTGTTTTGTTGTTGTTGTTGTTTTTTAAACATGTCTCAGACCAGTAGTGGTGGTGCAAGAGTAACACGATACTCTGTGACTCTGGACCCACACAGTTAGGTTGTGGTCTGCATCCAGAGGTCTCCTATGCAGACCAGGTGTGCACGCACGCCCAAAATCCAAGCTGGAGACTGTGGAATGAAGACCCTGTTGGGGGTATGTGTGTGTGTCTGTGTGTGTGTGTGTCTCACACAGAAGATATAAATTTTAGAAAACTCCCTCCACCTACAGTGCAGAGAAAGGGTATGTGTACAAAGTTCAGGGTAGGGACTGGAAGATCCCTTTTGGGCTGTTTTAGTATTCCTGAAAGGAGGCTGGACTAACTGAAAGACAGAATTAACAGGACTGAGTTATATTGGGGGGTGAGGGTGAGAGAGAGAGAGAAGTCGGCATAATCAGCCAGTCCTTTGCCTGAGTGATGATAGTGACCTTTAGTGAGAGTAGGAATGATGGTTTGGAAAAAAAGGAGAAACATCACTTTTGAAATATCCAAACAGAAAGTAGGACACACACATCTGGGATAGAAGACAGACATGTGGACTGAAAATATATATTTAAAGTTTCCAACATAAAAAGCAAACGAAATCAGGGAACCAGCAGTTAGTGTAATGGCTATGTCGCTGGACTCCCATGTAGTCGACCACGGTTCGTGTCCTGGACCCGGTGGCTTAAAACTCACGCCAGGCGCGTGTGTGTGCGTGCCCAAGATCCTGAGAGGAGAATGGAGAAGGGATTGCGGCGTGACCATCCCCCCGGGGGGTGATTTCTTGCTTTCTGTCTCTATGTCTTTCTGTCTGTCTGGCAAGCGCACACGCACTATAGCAAAAAACCTCTCCAAAAAAAAAAGTAAATGAAATCATAGGAGTAACATAAAATCATAACAAGTGCCTGTAGGAAAACTTCAACAGTGAGACTTGAAAAGGAACTTTAACTCTGGCTTTTGATTGAAGAGATTCCTGATCCCTAAGAGATACAAATAAAAGTAGTATATGATAAAAGTAGCATTTCCAATCATCAAAAAAATTTTTTTCAACAATTTTATTAGGACTGTTGTTAATGTTGTGTAAAAAGTAATATCCCCACTTCATACCATACACCAAAATAAACCTAAACCAATTAAAGGGTTAAATATAAACAAATGAAACTACAAAATAATAAAACATTGATAATTGATTTGGGGGCCAGAGTAGATCCTTCTAAGCATGACACAAAAAGCACAAACCCCAAAGGACAAGTGTTGATAAATCTATCCACAAAAATGCAATATTCTATGGAGCCAGTAGGTAGTGTGATGGTTGGTGTACCAGACTCCCAGATGGTTGATCATGGTTCAAGTCCCAGACCTGGCAGCTTGAAAAATCACACATATTGTGTGTGTGTATGTGTACCTGAAATCCCCAGAGAAGAATGGAGGGGAAAGAATTGTGGTGTGGTTGCCCCCCTGAAGGGTGATTTTTCACTTTCCCTCTCTCCCTCTGTCTTTGTTTCTCTCTCTTTGGCAAGTACATGTACCCTATGGCAAAAACCTAAAAAAAAGAAAAAGCAATATTCCTTAAAAAAAAAAAAAAAATTATTTATTTAAATTTGACCAGAGTGGGACAGAGTGAAAGAGGGAGAGAGAGAGAAGGAAACAGAAAGCAAGCTGCCAGGTCTAGGTCTCAAACCATGGTTGGTCATGTGGGAGTCCAGCACCCTTAACCACCATGCCACCTGCCATCCCCCAAAAAGCAATATTCTATACATGCACAAAATCATGAAAGGAGGGAGAAAAGGATGAGACTAGATTATGGTGTGATCAACCCCCAATGGGGATGCTTTCTCCCTCCTCCCCATCCCCTCCACTCTGTTTTTCTCCAGTGAGCACACACACCCTCTGACAAACAAACAAAATTAAATAGAAAGATACAAAAGACTAAAGACTAAAGCAAATAAATACAATAAACAGAAATGAACTACTAATATACAGATACAGCAAAACACACACATTTAAAAAAAAGAACAGAAGAAAACACACCGTCACATTAATATACTTATTTCCAGGTCAGTTATTGGGTCTCATTTCTTTGTCCCTTATGATCTTTATATTTCACTTGTTTTTCAGTAAACATCATGTACTACCTTTACAGTCACAAAAATAATTATTTAAAAACAAACACACACAAGGCCGGCCCCACAGCACAATGCTATGTGTAGAAACCTAAATCCTGCATGACTGACCACAGTTTGAGCTCTAGTCTAGAGGTTTAAGAAACATACCCTGCACATGTGTGCATGTGCCCAAGGTCCTGATGGGCTGGAGAAATGGAAGAAAAGAGGTTGCGGCATTATGATGCCCTGTGGTGGAGGGAAGTCCCCCTTCCTCTCTGTCTCTGGAGAGTATATAAACCCTCTGACAAAACAAAACAAACAAAAACAAAAAAACACATCTCAGTAGTTGGTTTCAGCACCCATTAGACAATAACCAACCAGAAACAAAAACCAAAATAATTCCAGATCAAATGGGTATGGTATTGGGCCCTCCTACTCAGAAGATGGAAGTAGACTGGACAGGGAGTCAGGGCCTGCTCCCTCACGATCCATGCTAGCAAGACTACCTGAAAGGCTCTGAGTCTGTCCAGCTCCAATATCCTGTGAATCCTTGACAAATTAATTCACATAAAACATTCATAAAGATATCTGCCATGTGGACAGCAGGTGAGTGGTGGTTAAGACACTGGACTCCCACGTGGACAACAGCAATTCGAGTCCCAGTGGTTGAAACCTACCAGCTTGAAACTCGAGTAAGTGTAATTGGGTGTATGCCCCAAATCCCAAAAGGAGAATGGAGGAGGAGAGAATGTGGTGTGGTCATGCCTCCTCAGGGACGATTTCTCACTTTCCCTCTCTCTGTCCCTCTCTCTCTGGCAAGTGCATGCAGCCTAAGGAAAAAAAAAAAACATATGCAAATAAAACTCCAATTAAAAAAAATAAGTATTTGCCACATGGTAGGCACTCGACAGGGAGAAAATATTATTATATGTTCAATACTAAAACACCTGGTAAAGAAAAGATACCTTGATAAAAACCACTCATTTCCAATCATGGACCATCTGGGCTGTCAGTATGGTTAACAAACATTTTCTGTAAAGGGCCAGAAAGTTAAGTATTTTGGGCTCCATGAGTTAAAAGAGCTATATGGTCTTTGTCCCTCTGCTGCAACTCTTCAACTTTGCCTTTTTAGTTTGAAAAGAGAAACAGACAATACGAAAATGAATGAGTTTGGCTTATTTCAATAAAAGTTTTACAAGTAAAGGTGGCAGGCCAAATTTGGCCCATAAGTCAGTCTGCTAACCTCCAGGTCTATAACCTGCCTAGAAAGGAATGTACAGGTAGTTTCATGATACCCTGCGGAAAAACCTGAAGGCTAGGGACTGTAAGTAAGATCCTAAAAAGACCTGTCTACAGATCTTGGGGAGAGGGGTGTTATCATGAAGAGTAAGCAAAAAGAGGCTCTTGGTGGTCTCATCCTTCTGAAATGAACAGGGAGCTGGCTGCTGCTTCATGCATTCTAAGCTTTATCCCTGCTGCCACCCCCTTAACCCTCGACAATTGGCTCAAGGAATGTGGGCAAGCCAGGCAGGGTTTTTCCAAAATCGGAAACCGCAATTCCTTTAGTAAGACAATGACATGCACTGTTCTGAAGCCCTACTTAGTCTGCCTGCCAACACAAACAACGCATTCACTCTTACCTACATTCCGCCATCCTGGAGAGTCCCCGGTGCCGAGTGTGCCTGGGCGCGGGGTCCGCCTTACCGAGGCTGCAGGCTGGGCCGGCGGGCCTCCGGTACTGCTCGGGCTCGGGGCGCAGGGAGACCCGCCGACCTGCCGTGCGAGCCCTCGGGCCGCCAGCCCAGGTCCCCGCGCCGGGAGTCGCTCCCTCCCACCCTGGGACGCAGGTCGCTCACCGTGACAGCCGGTCCTCCTGCGGGACAGCGACGACGACCCGAGGAGCGCGGAAACCCAGACCACAAGCCTCGTAGTCTGGGGCGGATAGAGCGGAGGCGCACCGGAAGTGCGTCATCAGCGACCTCGCGCATGCCTCCGCTGCCTCTCTAGGAAGCCGGAGGGGCACGTCTATACGGCCCTGGAAGGAGGCGTGCGCTCCGAGCCCTCCGGAGGTCCCTCCAAGGCCAGCTGCGCTCCCGCTGTCCCTTATTAAAGCCTTCCTCACCCCTCAAGACAACTGCAGCTGCTGCCCGGGGCCGGAGCGGGCCGTCTCAGCCAGGCTGGAAGCGTCTGCGCAAAAGCCCGGGGGAGCCCTTGCTGGGCCGGGCAGTTAGCGGAGGACTGACTCCCAGTGCGGGCGCGCCCCGACCGACCCCGATGGCTAGGTGTCCCTGTGGTCCCGGCGCCCGACCGGAGGGTAAAGTCGTCCGTGAGCTCCTTGTAGGGTGGTCCTTGGGTGAGCCGCGGACCAGAAATGCCGGTGATGGGCGCAAGGGAGAGTGGACGGAGGTGGCAGTCGGACTGTCGCCTTGGTCTGATGTGAGAGGCTGAGCTCTCCCCGTGGATGTCAGGCCCAGGAGATGAGGCGGCGCGGAGGGCTGGGAAGCTCATGTGGGCCAGGAGCTCTTCTAAATGCCTGTCTCCTTTCGCCTTCACAGGAACCCTCTGGGCTGGGTAGTGTTGGGCTCTTGTGAAGAACTGAAGCTGGGGTGGTCCTGCCCAAGGGCAAGCAGCTACTTAGTCGCAGAGGCGAGTGGTCATGGGTTTGTGCGAGCCCTCCAGGCTGTGCAAGGCGACTTGCACTGAATAAGAGAAAGCAAGGAATCTGGAATTTCTCCCCTGTGACGTGATGGATGCCATATTGTCAACTGAGATGAGCACAGAAAAGGAATCACCTTGTCTTCAGGCAGCAACGGAAGCCTGAGGGGAGCTGTGACTACAACCCTGTCAGCTCAGGTTGCATGGCAAGTCACAGGCAGAATTTCAAAGTGTTAAGAATTTTTTTAAAAATTCCATCCAGCATAAGAAAATTTATTTCTGGCTAATGCTTTGGACAGCAAAGTTACCAAAGCACCTTGTTACCAAAGCCTCTTTTACTAAGCTTAAGTGTAGGTGAGCACACCAGCCCAGGCACTCACAAGAGCAACTGTGATCTTGTGGGTGAGCAGAGCTCAGAATCCATAGGAACCAGAAATCTTGGAGCCTAAGGTAAGAGGAAGAGAGGGGATTCCAGAGATACCGGAGCCCAATATAACGACAGAACAGTAGGCAGGAAGGGCAGCAAAGAGACTAGAGGAGGCGGATGGAGGTCCCTGGAAGGGGATAGATGCAAAATAAATGAAGACACAACAAGAGTAATTGGATGGCACATTTGGAAATAACTGGAGATGTGCTAAAAGCAAGCAGTGCAAGGTGAAAAGAAAGGCACTAGAAACTTCAGTAAAACAAAAGGCTGTTCCAAAAAGGAATAAACACAGTAAAGCCAATTCTCAAATGAACCATAGTCATACGGCCATACTAACGCTCATGCTGTTTATTTTCAACTTTTAGAATAAATCAATAAACAAAGCTTAAAAGACTATGATTTTAAGAATGAACAGACTTGACAATGTCAGAGACAGGGAGGTAGAAATGGGGAGAAAGAAAGGGTACATCTAACATCTTAACAAATGAGGGAATTGATACATACTTACATAGTTAATACAATAAAAACTAAATAGGTAAATAAATATTTTTCTTGATTAAAAAATTCTTGCTCCTTATAGAAAATATGGAAATTACTTTTAAAAAACAACAAAACACCCTTTCAATCACCCATAATCATATTATCCAGAGTACCTGGGTTAGAGCCTAAGTTCTGGAATTTACCGATAGTATGACTGTGAACAAGTCATTTGACCAAACTTACATAACAGTTTCTCACATCTCCTTCAGATAATTTAGCTATATACTTTTTAACAGTATATAGAATATGTAACAGCTACAGTATATGACAACTGTACTACACACACAATTTTGAATCCAGACTTTCACTTTAAAGCATTAAGTAAAGCTCTAGATACATATCATGCTCATTTATGCTTCTAAATATTCTTCTTAGTATTCTCTTGACCGTACGGCAATCAGAGGTTTCCCAAAGATGGGACTTGAATAGAATCTTAGAAACACAAAAAAGATAAGGTTAGGAAAGCATAAGGAGGAATGGGGAGTGGTAATGAGGTATTACAGGCACTGAGGAAGGTGTGAGCAAAGGCACAGAGAGGAGTAAGCGTGTGCCTCTAGGTTGCAGAAAAGGCGTGTGGGCAGTGAAGACAGAAGGCTGGAATGAGATTAGGAAAAACTAAATCATGAAGGGATCCAGTCATGGTTACTAGCCCTCGTCCGTTTTGGCATTCCAGGAGCTAGCACAATATTCAAAACACAGTGTGTACACTTCCATAATGAATAAATGCTATACATGAGGTGGGAAATGCCTCCTGGGTTTCCAATCTCGGTGCCCTGGATGGAGATAATGCTCACAACTGATGAAGGGAATATAGGAGAAACAAGATTTAGAGGTTATTTATCTGTAGTCTGGCCTCATTCTTTAAAAGCATTACCAGTGGGAACCAGCAGTTAGCGTAATGGCTATGTCGCTGGACTCCCACGTAGTCGACCGCGGTTCGTGTCCCGGACCCGGTGGCTTAAAACTCACGCCGGGCGCGTGTGCGTGCGTGCCCAAGATCCTGAGAGGAGAATGGAGGAGAAGGGATTGCGGCGTGACCATCCCCCCTGGGGGGTGATTTCTCGCTTTCTGTCTCTATGTCTCTCTCTGTCTGTCTGGCGAGCGCACACGCCCTACAGTGAAAATCTCTCCAAAAAAAAAAAGAAAAAAGCACTACCAGTGACTATGCAGTACACACATCCCCAGATGAGAATTTTGGCCCATAGAGGCTCTGTGATCAACTTCAGAGAACCTAAGTGACTCCACAGGTGAGCACAAACTGAATGTAAAACGTGCACTTCTCAGGGAGGGGATCACCATCTGATTCTCAAAGGGGCTACAACCCCAGGAGGGAGGAGCTGGCACAGAAGTGGCAGTGGTGGTAGGACAACTACCTAGGTAAGGGAGCGAGTCCAGGGCATGACAGATTAGCTTTGCCCCAAGACACGTCTTCCTGAACTTGGAGGAGTTCATGGCTGGCTCTGTCTGGGTCAATATGTAAGAGAAAGAGAGAGAGAGTGAGTGTGTGTGTTGGGCTGATGAAGCCTGTCCTCTGCTCCCAATGCATCTATACATGATTCCACCATGTTTTGCATCCTCATGCTCCACTTAATATGCATCTATTGGTCTAATTTGAAGGTGGTGATAGATTTCCTGGCTTTCCCCTTATTTGAATCAGTAGGACTGGCACAAACTCTTCAACAGCTAAAAGTCTGATAGCTCCTGGCTTCCGAGTTCCCCACCACTTCTAGCTAGACTTGCCCAGGGAGGTAAGATGACCCAAAGGAACAGAAAAACCTAAGTCACCTTTGACAATGAGGGGTGTTCACTCTTCCCTTATTCAAAACCGTCAAGAAAGGCCAGGCTTATAACTTATTTTGAGGGCTGGAACTGAACTGGAAGGGAGAGTGGCTATCAGCTGGAGAAGGACCTGATCTGTTAGCAGTCTGCATGGCTCACATGATTTGTGCAGGATAGAAGGTATCGAAGCAGAGTGCAGGTTTGTGGAAACCCACATCTGGAGAGGAAATACAAACAGAAATGTAAAAAGTCCTAATACACACATCAAAGTATGTTATAGAAACCTTGGTTTGCTCCTACAAATAAAATGTTTTGTACAGTTGCCTAAATACAGTTAGTTCACAGGATCCTAACATCTGGGTTGGAAGAGATGCTGAAGGACAGCTAGTGCTGTCGATGTGAACTAAGTGTCCTGCCCTGCTGCAACACTACACAACATTCTGCACACACACACTCTTACACTGTAGTTCCACCACTCTACCTTCAATTGCATTCTTGGCCTGCAGATTTGACTTAACTTCAGGGGCTCATAACTTTGGTTGTACAGTGTAATCCCCTTCAGAGTTTAGGGGAAAAAAAAAAGAATAGAAATTTTAAATAGTGCCCTAGGTTATTCTACCATGCAGCCAAGTTTGAAAGTCACTGCTTTTTATCACAATAACAAGCCAGTGAGTCCCAAACCTAACTTGCACCAGAATCACCTAGGTAGGTTTTCTGACCTACCTATGAATAAAAATTATTAGGCCAGAAATTACAACCATGAGTGAATATTCAATTATGAGGATGAATACATGATGTGAAGCTAAAACTGCCTCAAGGATCATAAATCCCAACAGCTATTATGTTCCAGGAAAGTATACTTTCTTGGTGGGTCAGTCACAGATTTTTAGAACTGCTTTTCCATTGTTCTAACTTCTTGATCCATAGGGAGAAAAAATGTAACTTGTTCCTGATTTTAGTAGACACACGTCATGTTATCCTTGGGTCTCCCCACTCCCAGAAGAGGGAAGGAACAGTTGCTAACTAGGGTCAGTGAAGGGATGAATATTTTTGAGTCCTACTTTTGAATCTTTTGATTTGTTGTGTCTCTATAATTTATGAGTGAAATTGGGGGTGGGAAGGGAGTTGCATATGCTGACAAAAAACTGATTCAAGAGAACATTAATACTCCTTCTGTATGTGAAAGTACTCTGTAAATGAGAAAACACTGTGACTAATAGCCTTGGGCTGACTCTTGTGGTTTCCTGGTTAAGGCAGGTGCATCCCACATGACTGACTCCCTGGTTCAAGTCCCAGACCTAGTGGCTTGAGAACCATGCCATGTGTGTGTGTGTGTGTGTGTGTGTGTGTGTGTGTGTGTGTGTGTGTCCAAAATCCGAATAGGTGGAGAAATGGAGAAGGGATTGTGACATGACCACAGCCCATTGGGGGGAGCTTTCTCCCACTCCCTCAGTATGTCTCTAGTGCAAGCAGCCACTGGAAAAAAATTTAAAAATATATATATAATTTAGTCTTATAATAAGACAACAAATGGACGGACTTCTGCATGAGAGTTGCACCATACTGCTTATCACCAGTCTCAGCATTTCTGATGATGCTCTTATATGCCCTGAGGCATTGGGACAGAGCAGAGAGACCCAGAAATCAGGAGGCCCAGATTCCACTTCTAGATTTCGCTGCTTTCTGGTCACACTGCCTAAGGCACACCCCGGCATCTGTCAGCTCCTCTTCTTCACCTGAAAATAAGACTACATATCCCTGACTCAGGCTTCCCCATGGTCTAGACGGGATGACAGGCAGACAGAACAACATGGCAGGACAAAGGGGCCTGGATTTAGGTCCTGGATTTGGATACAGGTTCTGTCACTTGTTCCTTGCTTGGTCTGGCTTTGTTAAATGACCACTCTCAAGTAATGGGCAAATGCCTCTTCAGTGTTACAAAGACAAAGATAGTTATCAATGTGAAAGCCTGAGCTAGGGGCCAGGAATCAGGATCCTGTGCATGAAGGTTCGTAACAATGACCTATGGGATACAAGGCAATATTATCACGTAACTCCACCCACTGCATAGTTTAGGAGCTGTTTCTCCAGAGGAAAGTCTCAATGGCTAAGATCTTATGTCAGCCGATCTCTTCATCTTCCCAAAAGCTTTCATATTCCAATACTCTGAACTTTTCAAAAGCCAAATCAAGACCATAGGAACTCCCTCCCCACTACCCCCTCCCCCCACTTTCCTTTGGTCCTCTCAGAACTAGAAAAGCTCCACCTAGAACATGAGAATGAAACCCAGTGGAGTCCTTGGCTGCTGGAGTAGACTGAGCAGACAGCATGAGCATACCTTCAGGACAGCTCTATTCTGTGAATCCTCTATGTGAAAAGGGGCTGCTGGCTGCACCCCACCCACATGGGATATGATGGGAACTGGGGTTGAATGGGAGAGAGTGGCTGACCTTAGCAAATGCACGTAGGTGGTGTGTGGTGTCTCCATTAGTTCTGGGGCACCTGGCCATGCAGACTGGAGACCAGTCAGAATAGATGCATCAGAGGTCCCCAAGATGGACCATATCAAGAGGCACAGACAATAAGGGAATGGCTGTTTCTTACTTCTACCTATCTTAGGAGCAACAGTTGGTTAACAATTTTCTGTTGTGACTAGATTTTTTTAAATTGTAAATGTTGATAGGTGGACTGCTGCTGAATTGCTACTGCAAATGGTTTCCTTAACCAGTTACTGCTAAACCTGATATACTAGAATACAACGTTCAAAGCTCCAGAATTTAACCAGGCAGACAACCTGTCTGTTGCTCAAATAATTGAGTCTTAAAAACTTAAAATAAGCAAAAATGTACTTTGCCCAAATAGGATCTCTATCACTTAGCTTTGTCTGACCTAGTCCTCAGTTCACGTTCCATTTTAGAAAACATGATCGCTTAGGCTTGCAGGTACCATCAAGTCTGTGACTTTAGGTGCTCAGTTCTCATTTCCTTTAAGTTAGCCTCTAGAATGTTGGTCTTGTGTTCTATGTTGCATTCCTGGAAATGGTAACATTTAAGGACACAGGCCTCATTGCTACAGAGAGGGAGAAAGGAGCAAGGAGGTGTCTAACATGGGTGTAGTGGTAATGGCCGACGGCGCGAGCACTTCCTCTTTACCTGTCATTCGACAAGATGGGTCCTGTGGTGGCGCATGAGGTGGGAGTTGGAGATGAAAGCAGCCCCACACCTCTCACACTCGTAGGGCTTCTCCCCAGTGTGGGTTCTCTGGTGCACGGTGAGACTCGACCGTTGCCGGAAGGCCTTCCCACACTCACTGCATGTGTAAGGTTTTTCCCCGTTGTGGATTCTCTGATGAATGAGAAGGTAAGAGCTACACGTGAAGGCCTTCCCACACTCATTACACACGTAGGGAAGGTCTCCACTGTGAATTCTCTGGTGGACGATAAGGCAAGAGAGCTGACTGAAGGCTTTCCCACACTCGCTGCAGTCGTAAGGTTTCTCTGCAGTGTGAATCCTCTGGTGCACAATCAGGTGTGAGAAGCAGCTGAAGGCTTTCCCACACTCTTTACACTCATATGGCTTCTCACCAGTATGGCTTCGTTGATGCACAATGAGATTTGCACTCTGTGTGAAGGCTTTGCCACAGTCACTGCAGGCAAAGGGCTTCTCCCCCGTGTGGATCCTCTGGTGGACGATGAGGTTCGAGCTCCGGGTAAACGTCTTCCCGCACTCATTGCACTCATAGCACTTCTCTGTGATGTGGACCTTCTGGTGCCGAGCAAGTTGTGAGCTATAACTGAAGGCTTTCTCACATTCACTGCACTTAAAGGTTTTTTCCAGGGAGTGGATTTTCTGATGGACCGTCAGATTGGAGCTCTGAGTGAAGGCCTTCCCACATTTTGAGCACACGTAAGGTTTCTGTCCGGTGTGGATTCGCTGATGCACCACCAGGTTTGCACTCTGAATGAAGGCCTTCCCGCACTCGTGGCACTCAAAAGGCTTCTCCCCAGTGTGGATTCGCTGGTGCACCACCAGGTTTGCACTCTGACTAAAACCCTTCCCACACACACTGCAGCTAAAAGGCTTCTGCCCAGGTGGGATGCTCTGATTTTTAACAGGGCCAGAACTGAGGCTGTATTTCCCTGTAGATTTCCTACGCCTCTGGTCTTCCTCTTCTTTGAAGCATTTGGGTAAATGACAGTCCTTCACCGTCACTTGTCTGAAATCATTCTTTTCCCTCTTTATTCTCTGTCTCTTCAACATGTTTCTATTTTCACAGGCTTCTCCTAACTTGGGCCCTTGAGGATCAGCTTTCTGGAATCTTCCTGATATTATGAGAGGTTTTTCAGCTTCATCATATGTCTCCGTTTTGGGTACCAGTAACTGTAGGCTCTTGGTCTCAGCGCCTGAACCAGGAAACAGACAATACAACTGTCAGTTTTCTCTGGCTTAATAAAGAGTGAGCCCATCGAGTCATAAAGGTTAGGAGTGCATGACTTCAAAGCCTCTGCAAATGCCTTCATCAAAGAAAAGGTCCCCTCACATGTCACCTCTCCTCTGTCGGGTCTTCTGCTGACTCTATTCCCTCCTCACTCCTAGAACACTGCCCACATACTCACAGGATTGCTAACACTTCACCTTCCCCCGCCTGACACTTAATCCACTGCCTCGTGCCAGGAAAGCCCAACCTCCAGGCAGCACGGCAGCTGCTGGTCTGATGATGGCTCACTCTCACAGTCCAGGTCAACTAGGGAGGACGCCTGCCTCTCTCAAGCTGCCTTCTCTTTTAGCTACTCACTGTGGGATTGCCCAGTTAATGAGGGGGACTCCCTGCTTCTGGTCAAAGACCTACAATTTAGGCTTTTTACATCTGCTGATGTTGGATGAGAAAGAAAGGAGAGGCATAGACAGAAAGGGTCATGCTGGATGCCCTGATGGCTGCTGTGGCCCAAAGCATCTAGAATCCTGCCAGGTCGTACAGCACAGAAGAGGGTGACATGGACTCTGGGCAGGTTCCCTGGTGTTAGCTCCCTGCTTGGCCACTGGTCAGCTGCCTGGCTGTAGGCTAGTGATCCCACTTCTCGGTGCCGCATTTTTTCTTCTTTTTGCTTTTAAATAAGATAGGGTCTTACTATGTCACAATCCTCCTGCCTCAGCCTTCTGAGTAGCTGGGACTATAGGTTGGGACACCATGCTACATTTTCACGGTGGGCCAGGAACTGAACCTGGGCCTCCATGTGGCCTCAGCCTGCCAGGCAGCAGTGTCAACCAGTCTGTGCTACTATGGCTGGGCTCTGTGCCTCCGCTTTCTTGTTTCTAAAACAAGGATAACAGTAGAGTTGACTTCAAAGGGCCATGAGTGGGTGAAAGGAGCTCATCTGCACCAGCTCTCAGAACAGTGCCCGGAACACTTTGAGCTGGGGCTCAGAGCATCTGCAATGACTGAGCCTGACTGAGGCACTGTGCAGGCCCTGAGGAAAGAACCCTCAGGGTGTAAGTGGCTGTGCTGACAGACAGCTACACCAGCAGGTCTAAAGAAGGAAGAGAATGCAGAAACCCCTCGCCCTGGATCAGAGAAAGCTGACCCCACAATGCCGGAGAATCCCATGAGAGCAACTCAGCGGGCTGCTTGAAAACTCTGACTAATGGGAACCAGCAGTTAGCGTAATGGCTATGTTGCTGGACTCCCACGTAGTCGACCACGGTTCGCGTCCCCGACCCGGTGGCTTAAAACTCACGCTGGGTGCGTGTGCATGCATGCCCAAAATCCCGAGAGGAGAATGGAGGAGAAGGGACTGCGGCGTGACCATCCCCTCTGGGGGGTGATTTCTCGCTTTCTGTCTCTATGTCTCTCTCTGTCTGTCTGGCAAGCGCACACGCCCTATAGCGAAAACCTCTCCAAAAAAAAAAAAAAAAGAGAAAACTCTGACTAACCTCTGACCACTCAATGTTTTCTTAGAACCCAGTATCAAAGGGGCTCCTGCTTCAGTAACATGTGGAAGTCCAGTACCTTAACCATTCCACCACCTGCTGGTCCCACTCCCTCTGTTTTAATTACTCTTATGTCTTTTTCTCTTCTTTCTTATTTTTCCCCCTGCTATCTCTTTATTTTACTGTTGTTTCATCTTTTTTCCAGTTTTTATTTAAAAAGAAAAAGAACAACCAACCATGTCTGAACTATTCTAAATTTTTCCATGTACAATTTTACATCTCTCCTGGTTTTCCTTTGCACACTACTTTCTGTTCTGTTGTGTTCGCTCCTGGTCTTCATCACCCATCCCACCTTATCTTCCTTCCTTTTTTTTTTTGGAGGTTTTTGCTATAGAGCTCACCAGAAAGAGAGACAGACAGACAGACAGACAGACAGAAAGTGATAAACCACCCCCTTCAGGTGGTTTATCACCACAATCTCCTCTCCTCCATTCTCCTCTCAGGATCTTGGGCACACAGGCACATGCACCCGGTGTGAGTTTAAGCCGCTGGGTACGGGACTTTAACCGCAGTCGACTACATGGGAGTCCAGTGACATAGCCATTACACCACCTCTTGGTACCCCCCACCTTATCTTTCTCTCTCCTAATATCTCCTCCTTCACCTCCTTTGCTTTAACCACCTGTCACTGACGCCCAGGCACAGAGCCCACGAATACTTGGCTCAAACATCACTCTCTCCTTAACCCTGCTCCTGTCTTCCTTGCCCTGAGATACAGAAGATGTGAATGGTGAGGAGCAATATGGACTGGAGCCAGGCATGGAGGACAGCCTGTACATTTGAACAGTATTTTACGTCAAAGTTATCACAGAGCAAAACACAACTGCAGACTCCACGGTTTTCATGAATATGGTTATCGGTTCATGAGAGGGGTCCAGGAAGACCTGGGGTCTCAGCAAGTGCCCAGGGTCCAAGAACAGAAAATGACGGTCCCTTCTGTGTGCTCAAGGTCAAATCTCCTTGGGCAAAAATTTTAAGCAGTCAGTAACCTAGGACTTAGAACACTGGCTTGTTTGAAATGACATTTTTCCTTTTTTGGATCATGTAGGCCTACTATAATTCTGGAAAAGTACATAAACAGTACAGAAATAATAAAGACAAAAATTAAAAACTACTTTGTAATGAATTAGAACATCAGCACTGTAACAGGTACGATTGATACTTTGATTTTTCACAGAGAAGCGATCTGAAAGGCTATATGAGGCTGCGTTCTTAGCTGGTAAGTGGACCCTGAGATATAAAAAAGGTAATCAGGTTTACTAATTTTATATGTCCAATTCAATACATTTACAAAAGTGATGTGTTTTTCGAATTTTACTTACAAGATTTGTAAGACTGCCTAGTTTGGTGTTTGAAATGTTTTAAATAAACATACTAAATTTGCAATTATGTTTTATCTAAGAAAATTTGAAATGTAGGTGTTGAATGTTTAAAATTTTGTATCTGTAAAGCTTGAAGTGTCGCTAAACATGAATTAACAAAAAAGTACAAGTGTTCTTACGTTTACAAAAATATCTCTAAATGTACAGATGAAATAAAAGTAAGTTCTTTTTTTTTTTTCCACCACAGGACATGTATGTTCACCGGAGAGAGACAGTGAGAAGGAAAGTTCTCCTTCTGGAATGCTGGGCACACACACACACATGCCTGGTCTGAGTTTCAAGCCACCAGGTCCGGAGCTCAAACCGTGTTCGGCCATGTAGGATTCCAGCAACGTAACCACTACACCACCTGCTGGCCCCCAAAGTAAGTTATTCTTAACACCTTAAAAAATTGATTTTTAAATGTTATACCTTAATACATTCACCACTAACTAAATATAGGAAACAGGGCCAGCAGGTGGCATGGTGGTTAGAGGCGCTGGATTCCCACATGAATGACTGCAGTTCGAGTCCTGGACCTGGCGGCTTGCTTTCTTGCTTTTCCTTTCTCTTTCTTTCTCTCTCTTTTTCTTGTAAAATTAAAAAATAATAACAAATGGAATTAAATAAATAATTCTTTAAAAAATATATAGAAAACTGCAGTTAACACCTCCTGAGACCTGAAAAATCCCTTAATATATCACAATTTCCAAAGCATTTGCATGTATATTGTACAATGTCATCATTTAGCTGAAACTTCTCCTTCGCTCATCTGGAAGCCCAAAGGGGCCAAGGCTGTGTGCTGTCACATCTGTGCCTCCAGCATCTGTCACGCTACCCAGCACATGGTAGGGAAGGCCCCCTGCAAGTCCTGTATTACTGAATGGATGCACCTCGGTCTAGAACAGGAAATGGACGTCTGCAAGGTCACAGCTACCACAGGAAGGGCAACAACTACACTCAGCCTCCCGATTCCCGCAGTTCAGCCGTGCTGCCATCACTGCTGCTATGACAATGGCTGGCTGTGTCTTGGGTCTCAAGGTAAGAGGCAGAGGAAAATGGAGGGTGTTCCTGATGGACAGGTGCAGCTGCTAGAGTGAATGGGTCTGTGAATGTCCGGTAAAGCAAGGAGGCAGAAGGGTAGTGACAACAGGGAGTGCACCCAAGGGTGGGACAGAGCTGCTGAGAGGTGGGGAGTAAGTACAGATGACATGAAAATGTAAGGTGGCAATCCTAACCTTCCCCACAGAATAGGTCTAAGAAAGGAACTTGGCCTCCAAAGGCCTGAGGAATTGGCGAGAGAAGGGCGTGGGTACGAATGTTCAGATGTGGGCCTCAATCAGGCAGACTGGTAAGACGTTAAGTGCCAAGGGCCCGGCAGTCACCCTGATGACTGCTTCTAGAATATGGAACACATGGCCACTGCATTCCTAACCTGTGGCCACTTGTGCCTCCTGCATGGCCAGGCCGCCACCACAGCTAACCGTGATACTGAGAACACATCTCCCTTTCCTGAGTCCTAGTTTAGAGACAGCAGGTGATGAGTCACCAGCACCATCCACCACAGCCTAGTTTCAGCATCATTATAGAGGACACAGATGCTCAGAATTCTCCAGAGTTTGCACAAAACAGAACCCCTCCAGGGCATGTCACCAAAGCCACCACAGGAGTTGCCCATTTGTGCCTCACCTGGCTTCTCCTGTAGGCTCACCAACCTGCCGCC